TCCATATCAATACCTACCTTAAAAGTATGTGGCTAAGGTTCCCAAGAGTGTTACTGAACGTTTGCAATACAGGCAGAACTACCAGCAGTTTGGCAGGACCAGAGATGATTTACTTCTGTACTTTCATGTAGCAGAGGCATACAGAAATAAAGTAAAAAATATAACCAGCATGGTATCACATACCTAGTTGTCCACTGTTACGTGCTTTGAGTACAACAGGGCAGACTATCAAATCAGCATTTTATAAACACTTTACACTGACCCAGCCACTGCCTAAAAGAGCGGTCAGTGGGGCAATGGCATCCCTTAGAGTAGATGGCAGAACCCCTTCTCACTTCTTAGCAATATGAGATGTCCGTCAGGTAAGAGTGAAGTTATCTTAATTTTACTGTTCCATGAATAGAAAAATACCAAAATTAAATATCGCAGACTTCACACAGAGAAAATTCCCAGAGAACTCCCTACCCGGTTAACTTAGTTAAGGTCTGCAGGCTGAGCTCCTTCCATCTCCAAAAGCACAACTGTCCTAACAGTTGCACCTACTGAGGATGACAGTGACAGTAAGATGGGAGGGAAATAAAGAGAAAGATGTCAGATGCAAAGGGAGAGACACAGGAGAGGAAGACAAATAGCCTGATTAATTTTATGCATTTCATTTATGTGTAAATCACCTTCAGCTATTTCCCCCTCTGTTATGTGATCCTGAGATGCTGCACACCTGAGTTAATTTTGAAGGTAAAAAAGACCAGGGAAATAAAGCTGCGTAATCTGTGTTTTGATAAGTTTCCTTTTAAGTCCTAACTCTTGTTTTCAGATGCTAATGCCACAAAGCCTTAGTGCTCAAAACCCACTTGACTGATCTAAAAAGCAGTTCTACATTGCACACCTCATCCAGAAAGACTGGTAAAATATTTAATACTGTATTTGTTATGCAGACAAAAAAGACCAAGTCAGTATTTACTAAGAAGTGAACATTCTTTTCTGACTTATTGAACCTGCCAATATTTGATGGCAAGAACAAAGCATGAAGCAAATCCAAAAGTATGTCTAGACCAACTTTAGAGATCTTGTCTGAACTATGCATAGGACATAAGGAATGTTTTTCAAGTAGCTTTGTCCATGCCAACTGCTGCAACATTCTTCCCATGTAAGAATATTGTTTAGATTTATAGGTGATGTGAGTCAATGCAACAGAAGTCTCCGTTCTCTGAAAACCAGTGGCTGCAATAGGAGAATGCAGTGCTACAGCTGGGAAAGGGCCCTGCCAGTGGAGTCTCTTGCAGTGTCAAAACTTGGGAAACCCTTGTCCCCAAAGCAGTGCCACAGCCTTTACGGGTAGCTGTACGTGCCACTCGTCCAGGAGCAGGTGGAGGTACAGCCGGGAAGGCACTACAGAGGAAAAATGAGCACCAGCATGAGTGCAATGAGCTGTGAAAGCACTGTACCTCGTCTACTGGTTTGCACAGAGAGGCTGGAGTAAGGATTGCTCCTGCAGCATAGATTCCAGAGGATGTCAACTCATTCTGCGGTAGGTCTGGGAATGTCAAGTCCTCCTGCATTCGAGGCAGGAGAAGGCACTGGGCATGTTGCTCGGCAGCAAGCACAGCCCACTCTGCTCTGTGTAGCATCCCCCTTCTGCTGAGGGGTGTGGGGGGTGATCCCACCCACCTTCCTACCAGCTGTCACTGCGTGCAGCCTGCTTATGGCTCCCTGTGCACTTCCTTCACTAGCACACCCAGCCCCAAGGCTGTGAGCATTTCCTAAGCCTGGAACCCAAAGGCCTGTCAAGCAGCTGAGCATTTTGCCAAACCAACAGATCAGCAAATGACGCAATCTGTTCTCCGTACCTTACAGATGCACATCTGGGAATGACTTCACAGCCTCCACTTCAAAAAGCTTCCTTGGCACTTCTTCCAAGAGATAATGGCAGTTTGCATTTACCAGCCAGTTGAATTACAGGGAGTTATCAAAAAACGTCCACTGAACATCCCTAAAATGTTGCCATCGTTTCTGACTTTGTTCCATGCCCTGCTCAACATCTGCCATAGCCCACGATGCAAACAAGAGCATTTCAGTGGCCTAAGGAATAAGGACCCCCTGTACATACATAAACCTCCTTTCTCCCGCCATAAAGAATGAAGTTGTATGGGTATAGACATTGCAAAAGGAGGGAAAAAAACCCTCAAGTGCCATTCTGCCTTTCCAAGTAAAACTCGGAGAGGAATATGGAGCAGCTGGATCCTCAGTAATGAGCGGGAAGGATGATATTTTGATGCCCAAATGTGGCCATCGTGAATACAGGTTTTCAGTCGCAGACTTGGTAGGGAGATAGAAGTGTCAAACCATTAAAGAAAGGGTTGGTTTTGACTTCTTTTCCAAGCCAAGGGTCAGGTTTGCCAAAATCTAACCCCTCCCTGCTTCTGCTAATAGCAGGGCTGTGCTTGCCCAACAGAGTAGGGCTAATGGTTCTGCCACAGCCTCCTGTCCCAAAATAATTGTCCTTTCCACTGCAGATCTGAAGGGAAGTTATTGGTGCTGTCTATTTCCCATAGACACAAAGGGTCTTTTTTGTTGACCACTGTCCCACTCCTAAAGGAGTTGGGGGCAGGAGTCCCTGCAGACACTTCTTGGGTCTGCTGGAGTCCCTGCAGACACTTCTTGGGTCTGCTGTTCATCACAAGACCACCCTCTTCTCAGTGTCATAGCCAGGAAGGAAAGAATTCCTCTATTTCCTCTGTGGGAAGAAATCCTAACAAGGATTTAAGAGTCAGACCACACAACTCTGCCCCCTCACCCACAGTTCAGTGGGGTTTCAATATAAGAGATCTTGTAAGAGATGGAGCTATACAGAAGCAGTGGAGGGGTGGGGGGAGAAAACAATGCTGAAATAATTCAGAACATGACATTTCCTTCTCCTAAATATAATGAACTTTTTAGTACTGTTTATTTTGAGAGCTGAGGAGGATTCTGTGTTCCTGGAGTTCTTTCTATCAGGCCCAAATCCCCACAGTCAGGTCTTGGAAATGTGCACCTTTTTTTTGCACAGTTACAGTAGTTTATCTTCGGTAAGGATTATAGGGCAATAAACAACTGTAAACCACTCTGCAATAAGTGTTGTGACCGGAGGACAGAGGGTATAGAATGTAGCTTGAAATTCAACTATGCAAAGCCAGTTTTGAAGCTCAGAGGAAAACTGGACTGATGAGTGTGTTGGACCTGCTGAGGACAGACCAGCCAGCTCAAGTAACGCTTTCTACTTCTCTTTCTATTATAAATGCATATTCTTCTAAGAAAGGAGCCTGATCAAAAGCAGAGACTCCTCTCTACCTCTGAGAGGCCCCAGCGTTTAAGCCTACGATACCGCAGTCGCGCATGGCTCGGGACGCCGGATCTCCTGCACGCGTATGCACCCTCGGTATGTGTGTGACACCACTTACAGCTGCAGTCCAAAAGTAGCAGCTGCCTGTTGATATAAACCCTCACACTGGAAAAACAGGTGATAATGAATTCTTAAAGCATATGCAAGTATTAAGCAACTACTCCATGAATTGCCAGCAGCTGTTTCAAGAGCCCTGCCCTGCTTGCCACAGGTATTTAGTTAAAGTATGATACCCGCCCTGATATAAACCACAGGCGTGTACTGCCCCAGAGTCCCTTAAGGCTTCTGAACCAGGCCGTGCCAGCAAGTGCTTTGGTAATTTCAAAGCTACCTGCTGTGACGCTTCCCGTCATAGAAAGGGAAACAAAAAGAAAGGAAAGGAACTGGAGAGAAATAGCAGGGTCTAATTTCCTTGTCATTTTGTAGCCAGATCATTCAGAGAAAGTCACATAGCTGTTCAGACTCTCAGCACTTTGAACGCTCTTCTAGTGGACATTCTGATCATAAAATCAGGTCGTATTCAGCCTCCGTCCCAGGCTTACACACAACAGCAAGAACTCCCCCCCATTTTCACAACAACAGAAACACTTCTGGTGCGTTCACAATACAGTTTTATCACTTTAGCTTTCACGGAATGTGGCACTGAAACATTTCTCCCCCTTATTCAGTTGATATAATCTAATTTTTTGGTAATACCTAGAAAGATTCCATCTATGCAGAGCTTTCCTTCCGCTGTACAGTCCAGCTTTACACTGCACCCTCTGCTCTCTGTCGTCTCTTGCCGTAGCTGTTACAGCTACAGCTGCCTCCTCCGGTACGGGAAGGAGAGGGACAGCGTGCAAGGAAGTTGCTGAGGTTATGGAGGAAGCAGTGACATGACCAGATTAAGGAAAACACGGATTCTAAGATCATAATTCTTAACTAACTGCACATCAAACTCAGAATTCAGGCAGCCAAGCAGAAACTCACAAAACAATGTCTTAAAGTAGTAATTGCTAGGTTTGGAAAATAAAAACAACCACTCCTAGGCTCCACAAATCCCATCTAAGAAGAATTCACATCTGAAACAACTCCATGTCATGAGAAACACTGAATAATAAGGCAGTGATCAAAGGTGCTGTCAATACCATTATGTTAGATGGGAGGGTAAGAGGGAGGCCCAGACAACTAACTGTGAGTAATCGGGTTATACCGCAGGCTTGTTTTCACACACTGAATGCTGCGGCTCTAATTTAACTGGGTCACCAAAACTTAGGCAAAAGCCTACTAACTTAAGGCTAGGAAGTGCCATTCATTTGCCTAACTTTAGGCTACGAGGTGTGAACGCTGGGAAGCATGAGCAAATCCACCCAGGGAAAGGCAGGAATCTGGACCAGCAGATGGAACAGGTAAAAATTGTGTTCCTCAGGTTTTAGGAATCCTCTGCCCTTACAAAATATTTCAAATTTCTTCCACATAGTCCACATTTAAAAACCACAGAAATTTAATAGAAATTTAAGAACAGAGTAAGTGCTGTGCCCTCCCAAACTGCCCGGACAATGGATATTCGCCTTGAAAATTGTATCCCTATCAAGCCCCAGGGTCCTGACAAGCATTTCACACAGTAATTTAAAGTAAATACCTTTCAGTAGGTAATCCTGCCACAGCCGTGTCTTGAAGTTCATGGAGGTCAGGGTTCTTCGGCTCGGTTAATGTGAGTGGTGATAGCTGTCTTCGGGCATCCTGAAGTGAGCTTTCATGTTCCGCATTTATCCTGCTCTGCTGATTTTCGGCAACAGTGAGATCTGTAGATGCAGAAGGCTCATCCTGCTCCATCAAAGGAATGGCTGGAGCATAATTTTTGTCCAGGTCTGTTTCCAGCTCTTCAGTGCTCGTGTTTAAAGCCGAGTCACCTTCACCAGTGACTAACATCCTTGCAGTACCTGTTTCAGGGATGTCTCCAGTTTTTTCGTTACCTGTCTTTGCTGTGCTTAACACTGTGTCACTCTTCTCTTTTACAGCTCCCTCAGTCGTATTGCTAGATCCTAGTTTGGAGTCTGTTTGCAAGCAATCATCCTGGCTTACTTCGTTTTTTAAGTAATCTATTAACCCAGGCACGGTCACTTTCTTTTCTTGCTGTGAATGTTGTGAATTTTCCGATGTTTCCAGGCATTCCTTATTTACTGGATCATCCTGGATCATCTGCATGTCATTCCGAGTCCTAATGTCGTGCATAAAATCGCTGTGAATGCGCGTCTCCTGATTTTCCCCAGGTAACACATTAAAATTGTCTGGCAATTTTTCACAACTGTAAGGTCCTCCCAGGACAAGTGTTGAAGCTGCCATGTCAGAGATGCTCTTGGCAATGCCTGGATCACTGTGCTCACTTTTCTCCTGTGCATCTGGCTTCGGATCCTGGCACTGTTCAGTAGGAAGACTTACATCCTCTTCAGAGGAAACTGGTTCTGCGTTACACTCTGTAATTAAGTTATTCCCCTCTGCGGTAGCAGCATCTTCTAAGTCGCTCTTCTGCACGTCACCTGTAGAGATAACAGCTACAGCGGGCTGTTGTTTACTGCCAGGATAGGCAGGGAAGTTCTCAGCTGCTGCCCCATCAAATGAAGCCAGTCCTTGCTTCTCTATCTCTAAGCTTATTAGCGATTCAGGATCAACGCCGCTAGCACACACGCATTCCTCTCTTTCCATCTCACCACTCTCTGGATGCTCAGTGGGTTTGTCTGGCATCTGCAGATTTTCCAGAGCACGTCATCCAATCTAGGGACCACTTCTAAACAGGTACTGGGCAGCCTACTTTTCTCAGTCTCCTGGAGACTTGCCGGTGGCAGCTCTGCCACTGTGTTTTCCTGTTGCAGAGATTTGCCCTTGGCAGTTTTGCAGGAAGACGCGGTAGCTAAAGACAACTCTTGCCCCTCTGCTTTTGAGATGCTCTCAGGAGCTCCTTTACCTGCCTTGTTTGATTCTGAAAAGCCCTCAGCACCACGTGGTTCTGCTGTATCCCTGGCCACTGGACTCTGTTTGAAGCCTGCATGATTTTCAGACAAAAGTTGGGGTAACTCAGCACTCAGTGTGCTGTGGACAGTTTTTTTAAATATCTGGCTGATATGCTCCCTAAAGTCTGGGAGGCTGGAGCCGATGTCCAGAGAGCTGCAAGTCAGAGCCTCATGTTCCCTTCCAGAGTTCTCTGCAGACTGCTCGGAAATACTGATCTCTGCCCTGGTTATGTTATTATTCTCTTTTGAAAGCCCTTCTATTTTTTCTGAATTCCCAGGTTTCTCTAAGATCTTACCGCACTTGTCATCTATGCAGATAATGCTTACAATTTCCTCATTACAGCCTTCTTGTTTACCTACAGATGAAAGGCTCAGCAGCTTCCCTTCTAGAGTAGGGAGAGCGAACAGAGGCTCTGCTGAACTGTCACTCTGCTGTTCTTTGAAGTTTACCTCACTTTCTGTTTCTTTGGATTTAATTGCAGATATCTCTTTCTTCAGCTTCTCAGAATTGAACTGTGATAAGTTGCCAGTACTCTGCCCCACATTTAAAGTCTCTGGCAGGGCTGAACTTCTGTTTCCGTCACCCCAAAAACTTTGGTCTTGAATATTTTTCTCATTAACACACATACTCCCTGCAGAGCTGTTTTCTGAATTTGCTGGTTTACCTCCGCTTACCCCGTGTGAAGGACCTAAGTGCACAGACACCTGAGAACCTGCAGCAATCTGCAAATTAGCGTTACCCTCTAAGGCGTTTTGGCATGTTACAACTTCCAGCTCATTATTTAGTAATCCCCCTCCAGTACCATTGTTTGTGTCGTTTCCAGGTTGCTGGTTAGGCTGGCTGAGCTCAGAGGTCTGCGTAGGGCGGGCTGTAAAATTTGCTTGACAATAACCAGGCTCCTTGGGTGTCTTTTGAAAACAGCTGGTTTTATATGACTTAGCAGTGGGAATTACTTCCTCCTCATGTGTCCGTGGTGAAGGAGATCCTTGCGCCTCTGGACTTCTATCACTTTTCATATGGCATGTTTCTGTGGCAGAAACACTGTCCTCACAACTTATCTCCACGTTTCCATCTTTTCGGATGATTTTGCCAGTCAGACCTTCAATGTTTTCCAAGTTTTTTGCAATTAATGGCATTTCTCCCCGAGTTTCTAGATGAGATACCTGAGGATCATTTTTCTCAGAATTATCAGAAGTATGTGCTATTTCTGTATCACTTGGCAAAGCCTGTGGTATGTTAGTGGCACTCGCCGAATTCTGTGTCCCTGGCACAGCGTTTATAGCAGCAGCACTGCTTTCACCCATGTTATCCTTTACCCTGCATACGCTGCCTGGCTGTTCATTCTCGTCAGCTTCTTCAGGAAACGTATCGGTATGACATGCTGCTTCATGCTGACTGGCTGAGATCAAATAATTATTATCCTGCTCCGGCTTGTTTGAGTTTTGCTTACTGCGGCAGTTTTCTTCTGCCTTAAGATCAGTTTTGTTGTGCTCGTTGCCATCTCGCAAATTAAGCACGGTCACACCAGAAATACTTTGCCCGTGCTCGCTGCCGCACATATCCTCTGACACCACGGCACTGCTTTTATCCTTGTCCTTTTCTTTCGCTGTGTCGGAGTGGCACTGGATCGGTGCTGGACATAGCACAGGAGATTCTTTATTGAGGCTGTTTGAAATATTTAAAGGTATTTCTGGTATGTGGCTGTGATTGTTCAGGTCCAACGGCCATTCAGGTTTTAGAGCGCTGTCTTTGTGCTCCTGATCATCTGCTCTGGTGACAGTTGTCAGACTGCTTTGCTGCTCCTGTGGTTCAAGCCCTGTATTTGAAATCCAGTCACTGTCACCAGCAGCAGACACTGGCTTCTCCATTTGCTCTGCTCGGGGAAGAGCCGTGGGAACGCCTGCACTTTCCTGCCATTCTCTGATACAGCACTCCAGGATCTCCGAAGGGCTGCACGTGTCCTCCTCAGAGGGGCGGTTATTTTCATGGACACTGCCGTTGCCCCCTTCCTCCATGTGAACTTGCGGAGGAGTTCGTCCTGATGTAGCGACTGTGGCTTGGGAGGTTTCTGAACAATCCACCTGGACACTTCTGTGACTTTCTGCAGCCGCTTGCTCCAGCTGAGCTTCCATCAGCACATCAGATTCCCCTTCACTTTTCAGTGCCAAATCTCTGTCCCCCACAAACCTTTCCACCGCAGTTTGGGGCTTCTCCTGTGGAACATCCTCATTTTCTTTACTATCCCTGGCACTGCTTTGTGCAGCTGCAGGTCCTTGCTCTGGATTTCCACAAGGCACTTCAGTGATGTGACCAATGTGTTCTTTGGTTTCCGAAACCCCTGAGGCCTCCTCAGTTTGTACAGCCACGCGATCCATATTCCCTGACAACTCATTTAAGCCCTGGAGCTCAAGTTTTGATCTGGACACCTTTGCACTTTCTTCTGACTTAGTATAGCTCTCAGGTTTTCCTTGACTCTCAGTTTTATACTCAGCTTCTAACACAGTTTCTCCAGCAAGAGCTTTTTCCCAGGATTCATCCTGCTTACTCTGCGTAATATGATTGTTCTCGGAGTGAGGGAGCAGTGAACTGTGTGCACTGGCTAAACAAACCTTTTCAGTCCCATTACAGCCTGACTGGCCAGAAGTTTTGTCTTCTGCCTCAGTGTTAAAGCCATCAAAACTCAGTGGGCATCCTTCCCTTGCAAACTGCGGTGTAGCCACGAGCTTACTCTCCAGGTCACCCATGGCAGCAGTTTTCTCTTCACTCATCTGTGGATCAAGTTCACAACCAAGAGACTGTGAGCTGTCTTCGGGCAATTTAACGTTACTGTCTAAATCCAGAGGCTTTCCATCAGCTCCTTCCCTTAGGTCACCTGCTGAAGTCTTTGCACAAAGCTTGAATTCCTCGGGACTGTGTCTCAAGTCGGTATTTTCCGTGTCCTCATGGTGGCTACTAAGAGAGTTCAATAGTAGTCTTTCTGCCCCACTTGACCCCTCAGGTAATTCACTGGTTTCTGTCACTCGTCCCTCCTCTGTTCTGATTTCAGTTTTTCCTCCTGTTAGACTCACCTCAGTTTCTTTTTGATCCAGCTCTATGGATCTGCTCAGAGAAGTACTTAATGCATATTCTTCCAGTAATGATCTTTTATCTACTGGGGAATTTTCCTTGGTGGGATTGATAATGCTTTCTGTTTCAGAAAGTGTGGTACTTTCTCTAGACACATCATCGGCTTTTATAATTTCATTGCTACTGGCTTCATCTTTTGGGCTTTCAGTTGTGACAGCTGATTTTTGTTCTGCCTTTCGCTGAAATGATAAAGGCACGCTGAAATGCTCGGCGCTAACAAGCTCATCCTCCTTTTGAAGCTCTCTTTGAAAAATGGGTTCAGTTTTTTCAGAGGCTGTTTTCACTGCTCCACTCCTCACTGGATCTTGAGAGTCATTTCCAGGCACGTATTCCCTCAAAGGCTCTTCAGGCTTTGGTACCAGGAAGAGATTTGGAGGGTTAGAAGGTAACTCTGACATTGAAGTACAGGTTTCTGATTGCTCTCCTTTGCTTCCAGGCAGAGCTAGGTTTGCCTCATCCCCTTTAGCTGTTGTTACAGCCCCCATCTGTAGACTGCAGACTTCCCTGATCTCAGGCAAGCCCTGAGCATGCACAATTGCTCCAAATTTTTCACTGTCTGAGCCTCCTGCTGCCGGATAATTTAGGATTAAGGTTTCCTTTTTCATTAGCAGACCCCCTCCACCATCTGTGTTCTGTCTACCTTGATGCATTACAGTCTGCTGCTGACCTACTTCCAAAACTCCTTGCTCCTGCTCGGCCTCCTGCGCAGTAAAATAATCTCCTGCTTCTTTACCCTGGGGAAAGGTGCTGACATGTGGGTCCCACATGCCACCCAGCTGTTCAGGCTGCCGGAGCAGCCCTAATTCACTCAAACTAATCTGTGTGACTCTGTGCATTTCTGTAATTGCTGCAGGAGGGCTGGGCTCCAGGCTTGGGCTTCTGGGAGCATCCTCACTGGTTTTTATAGGAGTGGCAGCAATATCGTCACAATTTGGGCCTCTGTCCATGGGTACAACATGTGCTATTCCCTCTTCTTCGGTGTTCACTGGACCTGGTGATGGCACTGCTTCGTTGCAACTCGAGGGTGGTAACCTGGCATTGCTGGTTGTCAGATCTGCTGTGACATCTTCCTTGGCACAGTCTGCTGAAGACACTGAGGTGGGCAGACTTCTCTCTCTGGCTTCGGCAGCCTGCTTTAAGAAATTAGAGCCCGTTTGTCCTTCATGTTCTTGCAAGATACTGTTCTGTCCTGTCACCTCTGAAGACACCATTCTTGAATTTGGATTGGATACATCTTCAGCACTGTAGCTACTGATGCCTTCATTACTGATGCTGCCAACAATGGAAACGTTTATTCATTTCGTGTCAAAAAAGAAACAAATAATATGAAGCAAATGAAGCAAAGAATAAAAATTCATGCCACTGGTGTTTCAAAGCCATGCAGTACGTGCACTGAGAAGCTGATAATCTGCTTTCAGGAGCTAAACCATCAGCCACACATTACAGTGATGTAAATGCTCATTACTCTGGGAAGGATGTCCCCAGTCTTACCTGACAGCCACCATGCTCAGGGCGTGCATTTTAACTATTCCAAAATCTGTCTTAGTTAAGTGTGGGGAGAGGGGATACACATCTAACAAACTAAGGGGGAAATATGGGAAAAAGTGACAAAAATACTGTAAAACCCACCAGTACCTCAAAGTTTTTAATTTCTGCTTCTGTGAGACTACTTTGTGCACAGCTAAAGGTCCTGCAACCCATAATAACTGCTGCTATCTGGCTGCACTTCTATTGTGTGGCAGAAGATTAAGAAGGGCCCATCTGTTGAGTTTTTTCTCCAACTAATCAGCACATTTGATTCTCACCAAAAGGCCAAAGGTCCCGCCCCGCACTGCCACACAACGATACACACCCTATGAGGTCATTTTATTGCAGTGTTGGATTTCAGTGCATATAAGCTGTAAGTGTTTGTAGGAGCTCTCTCCCCACCCATTAAAGATAAGACAGAGATGATGCGTGTGCACTAACTGTAGGGAAGGAGAAGTTATTTTTAATAGTTTTCATGTGCACTGTGCAGGCCTCAGTTCCCACATCTAGGTTTGTAGGTGATGAAATGGGTTAATCTTGTTCTCTCCCTCACCTCCCCTGGGAAGCCTGAGAATATATCCAACGCCTTAGGGAACATGGAGTGAAATATCAAGTCAAAACTGAAGGTAGAATGGTACCTAGGAGCAAGGGGCATCGTTTACTTGATATCTCCCACCTCTCTCCCTCCCATCCAAAGCAGACACCCAGAGTTATAAAAGATTCTTAAAACACTATCTGTAAGGCTGAGCATAAAGTGGATTTTAAGTAGCCTCCAGAAATCCGAGAAGCATCTTTCCCTTCTCCTCCCAAGTTTTATGCACAAAACACTTGATGGAGACGTGAGTGAGTGACCAGCTCTCGGATCCCTGCACCTCAGGTCTGTGTTTATACACTGACCCCTCAGCAACCGCTGAAGCAGCACTGAAGCCCCACACACTTGGGCTGTGCTACAGTGCACAAGACACACTTCGGGGGTGTGCGTGTGTGTGTCAACCCCCCTCTTTATACCGGGGACTGGCCAGTGAGACAATTTCTTTATGAGAGGGCTGCACATAAAACTGAACATGAACCTGTCTTAGACCCCAAAAACCTTCAGTGTCATCACAACGGAAAATGAACTAGTTTCTAAAGAGCTATCAAAATTGGTCTATGTTTAGGGTAAGCCTCAAATCTAACGTAAAATAGCTATACCATACGGTTAATTTATAGGTTAACCAAGTTTCAGCAATGCTCGGCATCAGCTTGTACATTTAATTTATAACACCCAATAAGATTTATTTAAACTTTAAAAAATTCTTTTGCCCCCGAATTTTTCTTTTGCCAGCACATGGAAAACACTCATCCATATAAAACTTACTGATACTGGGAACAACCCAGGTGGCAGTGCAGTATCTGGTATTTGCTGGATCACCGACAACATGGGACATGGTAGGACATGAACAAACAAGGAGATGCTAGCAGGCTTTCCCTAAGGAAGGAATAGACTTTATCATTTGACACTAATTATGCACTCAAGGACTCTTAATTAGAAGAGGAGGGGCAGAAACCACAACACTGAATCAGGGAGGGGATGGAAAAGTGGGAGTCAATTGCTATTCCAGCTTTTTGTTTGCATTGCAGGTTTATCTTCTTCCTGATTAAATGGCTCATTAGCAGTTGTGTGCCCAGGGTTCTTCAGCCTGGAAGCATGCTCCTGTCAGAGGTACGGTGTCCAGCAAAAGAACAGACATGGGTGCAGTTTTGGGGGTGTGTGAAGTCCTCTCACCTCTGCTAAACTGAGTGTTGGAAAAAGTAGAAAACACCACCTACAATTACAATTTCTCCTTATCACTTATCATTGACCTCTGAATCGTTAAACCTTGTTAATTCCATCTGTCAACTGAGTTAGGAGAAGCATGGTAATACACCTGGGATTGAAACATTGGTGATGTCTATCCTCCAGACCTACATCATCATGTATTTGCATTTTACAGGTTTCAGCTGACTGAAATTTCTCCAAGATCTTTACAGATATGACTTCCTTTTGCAGCTTCTATCTGCATCTATTAAACATGAAACAGTTCACGTCTGAAGTGGTTTTTTTTAATACAATTGCTAAACCCATGAACTATCTACTGCCATGCTGATAGCAACTTTATAAAGAGAAGAAGTAAACCTGTGACTTAGCAGGTTCAAGGGCAGATGAATCCTGTGAACTGAGCTGTTCAACATTATGAATCAACTAAACCAATTTTTCTGGCATGCAATAATGCTGGAAACTTGTTCATTTTACTCAAAAGCAGATGAAGGAATTGGGACAACTTTGTAATTAGTGTATGCTGAGTGGAAATAAAATGACAGTGCTGACACATGCAGTGACAGCAACTTCAACTATCACTTTTGGAGTGAATTAGTACACATTCGTCATCTGTGCTACTTCAGCTTGCTTCAGTCTTTTATTCAGGACACAACAGAGAATTGAAAAGTTTGAGTTTCCAATCATCACAAGATGCATCCAGACTGACCTGTTTGGCTATCTCCATTTATGTTTCTCCTGATATAGGTAAAATGAAAACTGCAGGGAACACACCCTGCATCTTTCTTTCCCTTTTTTTGCAATCCTGCTTTTCTGTCCATGAGACACTGCTGGGGTTAGACAAACGCCTGTTGGGAGTGACTTAAGCACAGCTGATCTTGCTTTAGGGCAGAAGGATGGATTAGATGACCTCTTAAGGTGACACCTAGTCCCATTATTTTCCATTCTTTTTAAAGGGAATAACACTGCAGGGAAATGATACCACTTGCTGAAGGTAACTCCCATGAGTAAAACGCCATCTACAGGAAAATGTATTAGCCATTGGTAAATTCCTTTGGAGAGCATGTATTTCCAGACAACCCATTCAAACATCATGAACACAAAGTTAGGACCCTAAAAGTTGGGGATTTTTAAATACAGGAAAATAAAATCTGTTCTCTTTTGTGGTTACTTGATCTCTTTTGTTTGTAATCTGAACTGGCTTGATATTATTAAGAAAAATTCATTCATATTTAAAACAAATCATGCAAATGAGAAAGCATGAAAGAACGTGGGTAGCTCTGGGGAAAAGGACC